CCCATCGAATTTATTAACAATCTTAATTAATCAGTGCCATCGTTGGTTATTTACAGAAAAGAAGAACGCGAAGATCGAAGAAACTGTGCGTCTTTGGTACGAAAGGATTCATTTCGATCGAACCGGTCCGATCGTTGCACGATCGAATCGAGTATTCGCCACGAGAGGAAAGTGAAATTATTTTTTTCTTCTTAATACCGATGATGAGTTTTTTGCCCCGAGTAGCGTGTTATAAATGCTCGTTTAATGAGCAATTTCCCGATTTACCATCGGGTGTTTCGGTCTTTTCAAAACCGAGAATAATTCGGAAGAGGATCAATTTTTTTCTTTTTAAGAATGTAGATAAGTTTCTGGTCCAAACTTTGTTTTTTTTTTTTTTTTACTTGGATGAAGGAAAATTCCTTTTCTATAAATCAATTATCAATTGATGTTTAAGTGTAGTCAATCGAAAATTTCTTTCATCCAAATTATTTACCTCTTATCAAGAAATATCATAGAATTATCTAATATTTAACTAGACACACAAAGAAGAAAATCTGATTGAAGTATGTAAGTCTGAATATGAGTTCATTTTTCTCAATCGACTTTCGTTAATACAGCAAAGTTTATAAACTTCTTGCACCCACGCTTTTGAGCAGAGTTAAAATTCATGAAAGAACACAATCGAAACAAATCGGTCATCGATCGAGGAATTCGTCACGATCGACAACTTGTCTCGTAATCTCCCTTTGTAGATCCATTTATGTGATTGATCGTTGATCACGAGAACGATGGTTCTAAACACCCACTGATCGAAGACCATCAGTCTAAAAGCGACAATTCTCGAGAGCCCTTTAGCGATTAAATTGTGTCTATAAAATATGTATTCATTTTTGTATCTGTTAAAAAATATTCGACTATCTTCGACGACAACTTAACTGTTTACTCTCGTCTAAAAATCTTGATTAGTAAGTAATTAATTCAAACATAAAAGTAACTAGGATATACATAAAAATATTGAGAAATAAACACAAATAAACAGAAGACAATCCCCTTAATAATGATCGGATGTCATTTATTTTTAAAGGAAAAATGTGGCTCAGAATATCGTAGATTTCGCTTAAAAATCGAATTTCTATACGCAAATAACTCAGTGACGCGACAGAAATAGGCGTGACTAAGGATAAAAAATATTTCGAAATAAGTAATTTATGAGGATCAAGGTCCTACCAGTTACAACCCTCTATAAACGATCGATATTCGTTCATATTTAAAGAAATGTGTGGCTCGAAGAATTATTGGATATGGATAAAAATGTTTAAAAAGAAAAAACTGTTCAAACAGATCCGCCGATGATAATTCACGATCTATTCCAGTAAAAAGTACAAACTGTTTAATAAAAGACGCGAGTTTAGGGGTTAACGTGTGTTCGTTTCACACAAACACACAGGCATATCGCGATCCTGTCACCTACGTTAAAACGACCGGTTAATCTAGATAGATCGTAACCGAGAGATCGTGACGATGATCGATGTTGAAGACGCCGCTTAAAGCTTTCGGAAATTAAAGCGTTCGTAAGACGGACGATTAGACGAGAGACCGATGCGATAATTGTCTTTTGATTCCGCATACCGAAAAGTGTTCATCGATATGAATCGCGAAACAAAACGGTTCGAGAGGTCGTTGTATACCTAGAATGTTTAAGAACTCTCAAGGAGAGATCCTCAGGCTGCGATAATCGAAGCTCAAAATCGCGAAGAAGCTTAGGTTAATAAAATACCTTGGGAGTTTAGAGCTTGGTATCTGTGTCGACTGAAAGAATAAACATGGTCAACCTTTTGTCAGCTTGGAAAAGTCTTCACCACAGTTATTAATTATTTCTGAAGTAAAATCAATGATCGAACCACTTTACGAAATAGATCCAATCTCTAGAAATCAGATTAGAAGTTTGTGACTCAGACTTTACAGAAGCTTCAATTATGCTTCCTCGGTAACAAATCGGATAGCGTTGCTTCAGCGTCGACGAGTTTCGACGGGAAAGTTTTAAACTGCAGAGTCTCGACACTCGGAAAGTTCCAACACAGCCGACAATTTTTAGTAAAAGATTCATTTGGAACAGAATCTACTTCGGTGTTTCAACCTCGATGATAAAGAAGATAGTCGATGCGCCGCGATTCAGCGACCAACTTTCGACGGAACGTCGACGATTTGATCCCAGCGGTCACCTCTTCATGATAAATTCACGAATGAGCTTCAAAGTTATCGCGCGTTAATCCAATAAAATCTTATCCGAAAGGTAGAGTTCAGGAACGAAGGAAAATCGATGATCTGCTATCACAGGCTATCAAAAGTCGAGATCCACGGCTCGAGTGATCCAAAGTTCGCGATCCATACCGAGAGAACGCGTATAGAAGTCGATGCTTTGACGAAGACTTCCATCCAAAGTCTTCGAAATTTTCTGGAGAATTTTCCGAGAGTACTGCACTCCCCAACGAAGATGATCGATACTCTATCACAGTCTATCAAACTCAAGAGACTAACCGTACTTCCATGCGCAAGATTATCCAAAGTTCTAGAAGTCGAGAGCTTCGACTCGAGTCATCTTTATACCCAAGATTCACGCTTAGGATCCGACAGAGCTTCAGTTGAAGTCTTTGATTAGCTTGTGTAAAATCTAGTGTTCTAATAAGTTAAGTCACTTCCACATTAAAGAATCACTTCTAACGAAGAAAATCTTCGTTCTTATCAAGGTTGATTCTATAAACAAATTGTAATATTCAGTTTCAGAATAAAGTCTGACTCGAATAATCTTCCTTGTCTTTAAGAACTGCAGTAGAATTTCCATCTATTGACGTTAACGAAGCTTCATTTAAAACCTCTATAAAATCCTTAATGTTATTCGAGAAACCTGAACCCAATAACAAAGAAAGTATAGCCGATCATCAATTCTATGACCAGCTTTTAAGCTTCACGAATCTAGAACCAACCCAAACTAAGTAAACTAACCTCGAACATCGCAAGTCCATATGTAACGAACACATATAATTTCGATTACTCCACCCTGGCGAAGCTACAGTCCCCAAACATTCTCAAAGTATCGTTCCACGAGCTCTCACTTCAACGAAGAAAATCACCGGTCTTTTTCAAGCTTGATTCATTCAAAACAGTCAATGAACTCTCTTCCATTCAGAAACTACGAACAATCACCTTCTCCTAACAGAAGAATTCACACTAAATCTCATCGACATTCTCCATCCAGAGCTAATATCATCGACAACCCAAGTGGAGTCTACCAATCAACCGATGTTAACAGTCTATACACTGGAGTCTCAAGATATCGTCCCAAGATTTTTTTATCGTATCATCAAAATGCAAGAGAAGGATCAACAGCTGTCGCGAGATCAAAGTCCTTTGATCCAAATTCCCAAGAACAAACCCTTAGGGGGTCGCGCGTCCTCAGATCGATATTCGACCCAATGTTAACCAGCTCGGCAAAACTAACCACGTGTGAACGGTCGAAAAGGACGACTTCCGACGAAGAGGACTAAAGTAGTGGTTGAGCTAGACTCGGTGGTAGTAGATCGGCCCGTAGAGAACAGCCGGGGGGATAGCGTTGCGCGCGCACTACCACCACCGGCTGGGCCCTCTCTCGGCTATACTCCTTAGCATTAACACGCGATACACCAGAAAAACCAGTTTGCAGGCCTTTTTATTAGGCCTTTACTTTCGCCTGCGAACTGAAAGGAAGAGTGAGCGAGCGAGCGAGCGAGCTAGCGAACGAGGCCTGGCTAGAAGTTAACCGATGAGCGAGTGTGTGAGCGAGCGAGCAAAGTGACTGACTGAGCTAACTAACGGGGTCACCAGTCGATACGGACACGCACATATAAAGAGACAGAGAGACACGCGAGTATATTCCGCGGGCGCGAGCACAACACACACACACAGACACACACAGAGATGCGCATAATTCTATCTTTTCCTCTTTCTCTCTCTATCTCGATCCACGTGCAGGTATATCGCACGCATACTCGATGAAACCGCGGAGATTCGTGGCTGGTGTGTTGTCTCTGTGCGTGTATAGAGCATATATAGACGCGCAGACACAAAATGCGAGCGCTGACACCAGCGAGAGTCGAGTCACGGAGCTGAACACACACATATACACACGCACGCGCGCAGAACACATACATATTACACCTACACGTTTCGATACGGCGCAACAACGCTCTCGCTCGCGGTATTAAATAATTACGGTATCTAATAAAGAAAGTTATGCAAGCTGTTGCCGCCGTTATGAGAGAGAGAGAAAGAGACTAGGGTCGCCGCAAGGATCGCTCAATCTTGTGTGTGTCACTACAAATGCATGTGTGTGTGTGTGTGTGTGTTTGTGTGTGTCAGATGCATTCACGAATGGTTCCTTCCGAGTCCATCGACGGTGTTTCGCGTCCTTCGACGGGTTGCAAGGCTCGGTTCGGTTACTTTTTTTTTTCTCTCTTTTCTCCTCATTGTTCTTAGTTTCTAAACATCAGAAAAAAAGAAACAACTACGGTTCTTCCGTTTCTATTTTTTCTGTTTCCACGCTCGCACAACTGTGCTCGCTTTCCGCGGAACGATCGTTTGTCCCTTCTGCTCGAATCATTTTTAGTACGATCTTTTGTCGTTCCTGCGTATGTGTGCTTGTTAATTTTTTTTTTTTTCGTGTTAACGGCGCTGGATTCCCGCGATAATCAAAGAAACAAATGGGGAAAACGATCTTTCCCTTATCCCTCCCCCCTTTTTTTTCCGAGCTCGTTCTCACCGAATCGCACAGATCGCTCATTCTCGATTCTTTGAAATCTTATCACGTTACATAGTATCTAAATGAAATGTGTTCACAGCCACACATTAATATTTATACATAGATTATCGTTACCACTACGTTCCTCAATTTTTCCGTTTTTCTTTTCTTTTCAGCAACACATCCTCGTTACGTAACTACCTCTCTCTTCTTCTCTCTATCCCGTACTTTCGTTATCTGTATCATTTTTTTTTTTAATTTTTTCTTTTTTTTTTTCGATTTTTGGAAAAGAAAGAGGGGGCGACCGGAACACGCTAAGACGCTTTCGTGATGTATTAATATGTATATATGTATAGAGAAATTTCTGTTTCAGTCGTGACTCCCGCGAGTTTCGTCGCCCGGATTCGTTTTTCTCCTCGTCTTCTGTAACTCCTTCATCCATTTCGATCCCATCTCACAGCTGGTCCCGCTGCTCCGTGTCATCCATCGAATCGTCCCAGCTTCCGTTTTCAGAACGACTCCGTGAAAAGGACACGTCGCAGCGACGAATAGTATCCCGAAGCAACCCGCCGCGCACAAGTTTGTTTTATATTTTTTTTTTATTTTTATTTTTTTTTTTTTTCGTTAACAGTTATACCGTGAAAACACACGTCCGTCTAGACGCGCGCCCAAATAGCGTCCAAATATATATATGTATATACCGTGTATCACCGAGTCTCTTCCATCTTCGATCCCCGTGTATCTCTTTCTCTGTCTCCCTCTAGTTTTTTAATATATATATATACATATACAATATTCGCGTGTCTAGATGCGTTCCGTCTCTCCCGTTTCGAATGTTAGGCACAACAACACATTTGTTTACTTTGTATCTCATTTCGCGTTGGAGTCTTGTAGTCTCTCAGTTGATCCCCTACGACCGTGTAGCAGCGAGTTATACCATCGTGGATTTCCGATCCTACCCGTCCATCTATCCCCCCCCCCCTCGTACAACTCTGAGCCATTTCCACCGCAACACCTCTGTACACAGCTGATTCGCGTCGGGCCAAGGGGGAAGAAAGACGTGCACGAAAAAATCCTCCTAGTTTCCGACTCTCACAGTCTTCCCCCCACGATCTTGGTCGCCAGTCGTCATCTTAGCAACGGACACGATAGAATTCTCTCCGAATGCTCTCCACCATCACCGTCCACGATCCCGCGTACTTGTTCTCTTTCGTACCGACGTGGCTGAGATAGTAGCCTCGTCTACGTCACGCTCTGGACCGTTTTTGTGTGTTTCGACGGGACCGCCGAGCGTCAACTGAGGACCAGTGATTCGTTTGGCCCACAGCAATCGTGGAAGATCGACGTCATCGGTGCGTCGTTCTTTTGATCCACTGAATCACAGGGGCTACGATCGTGGCGGGATGATCGTGCACGTTGAAGAAGGTTGCAATCGTCTCGATCGATCCCAGCAGCGACAGCGTCGTCGTTAGTCCCGGAGCTGTTGTTTGTTGGGACCGTGGTGGCAGCACCGTAGCCGACGACTCTTCCGAAGGTGGTGATGGCGGTGGTGATGGCGGTGCTAGTGGCGACGATGGCGTTGGCGTCTGTGTCGCATCACGACGAGCACGCCATCCACGAGTTGCAGGTGCACGTGTAACACGCGGTGGGTATCACGGGAGCGTAATAATAACCGTTCGCGTAAACGTAGGTGGCAGGCGGGCCGGGCGGCGCCTGTTGATGGTTCGTAAGCCGTTGCTGTTGCTCCTGGCACAACACCTGGTAGGCGAGGCTCTCGATCAGAGCTAGGGTCTGTCGTCTTTCGTGGCCCATCAAGCACACCGTGGACTCCTCTACGACGCTGTGCAACAGCATCAGATATTGATACCTGAGCGCCTCTTCCTCGGGTCCAACGAAATGATTCCACAGATAGTTCTCGAGTTTGGCCCGTTGCTGGCTGATGTCGGGGAAATCGATGAAGAATCTCGAGCACATGTATCGCTCGAGGGTCTTTATGTAGTCGGGCTGGGACGGTTTGTACATCTTGACGAGAAGATTGCAGTACTTGAGCAAACCACCGCCCCGTATCTCTTCCGGATGCCTCGTCGAGATCAGTTTCTTGTGTAGATGGTAGAGGGCCTCCTGAAAGTCACCGTAAACAGACTCGCCGACCACGGTCGGATAGAAGTTCTCGCCGATCGGCAGTTTGCTGCACTCGTAGAACAACAGAAGGGAGTCGAGCACGATCTGGAACGAGTCCACGGAGAACTCGAATTGCCGCCTCATCGTGTCGACGAATTTCAGCTCGACGTTCCGATGACCCCGTGAATTGCCCAACGAGATCAGGGACCATCGGTCACCGTCGTTGTTCACTTTCACCATTTTGCTCACGTACGCCTCCTTCAGGCTGCACGTGGTGATACGTTTGCGGCTGACGCCTTCCGGGAGCAGATCGAACAGGGAGCCGAGCACCGCGGCCTTCACCTTGTCGTAATTTCGCCCGCTCGACAGCTCGACCGCGAAGATCAGATCCAGGTCGTTGTACGGTTGGGACTCGGTGGCCAAAACGTGGGATGCCGCGCCACCGTTCAATCGGATATCCCGTACCCTCATTCCAGCGCCGCCGTTGCTCGGGTCGGTCTCCAGTTTGCTTCGTACTACGGTCACCAGGTCCCTAAGACGGACCTCCAGGGTGGGAAAGTTTCCTCTACCGTGAATGCAGACCACCTCGTTCATCACGTCGTTCAATCGACGCACTTGCTCGAAACTGAGCACCGCCAGCCTTTGCTGGGGATCCGGGCAGTCCGGGTTGTTGTTGTTGTTATTCGTGTTGTTGGTGTTGTTCGTCTCGTTGGCACCGTTGCCGGCATTGGTCTTGGTGCTGTTCACCTGGCAGAGGGACTCCATCATTGCGACCCGACGCTGGCGTTCCTCGCCGATCTCCAGGGAGCCACACTGTAACGGAAAGGAAACAGGATATGTTATTAATGATGTCATTACCGCCACACTTCGATGGATCGCGTGAAAAAAGTACGTTGCACTTTTTTTTTTTTTTTTTTTTTTTTTTTTTAACACTACGAGGATTCGAGTCCCCTTTCTGGCTAATATTAACCCGGATATTTTATTTATATATGTATGATAGCGTTCTGTTATTATGAAAGTAATTACAGAAATGAATTATTCAAATTTCAGTGGATTCTTCGCTGACAAGTCGATAAAATCCGTGATCGATGGTGTCTCGAAATGATATAAACGCTACGCGCTAGTCGTCGTTAATGTTTTTGTTTTTTTTTGCATTTTAAATTGTCCATGGAAGAGGTTAAGAGCGATATGAAGTATATGTATGCAGATTATAGTCATGACGGAAGAATCAATACTGTAATTTAATTAACCGAACTCGTGTTAAATAATTCGTTCAATTATTTAGCTCTAACAAGTGTATTTTCAAGACTGCCGTTAATTCACTCATATACGATGCATGGAAATTTTACGGTATAATTTTAACATTCATTTTAACGCATTATACTTTGTACCAACAAACTCACATATTGCTTTTAATTAAGGGCTCTGTTTAGATACAGATGTACCGAATGCCGCGCTAAGCTATACCAAAGTTTTGATATTATTATATTTCTCGCGTTCCCACACACCGTAAGCGGATAGTTGGCCAAAACAAAAAAAAGCAGCGGTTCCCAACCTGGGGCACGTGCTTGGTGTTTTAGGAGTAGAAAGGAAGGGTGTAACTTTGACGCCTATGTTTGTGTTTGTTTGTCTATGGCTCTGTAGCTCATCAACGCGTCTTTTTTGTTCTAAAGTGTTCATTTCCGGGAAGGTTAATACCCATTTTTGGTCAAAATCGATTCAATAATTTCCAAAGCCTTCAATTTTCGTAACAAATAAACCGTTCTATTTTATGTATGAGGTATTACAAATTTGGAGAAATTTGATTTTCTAATATTAGAGGGTACAATTTAAGGAAACTGACAGCCAAGTGGTACGCAAGTCTAAAAATTTGACAACCGCTGTCTTAGAGCGCTGAACAATTTAAAACTTTTAAGGGAAGTTTTTCAGTGTTAATAAGTGATTTTCAAAAATAAAAACGTGGATATCTTCGTGTCGACGATTATGAGACTCGCCTAAGTCTATAAATTGAACGGGTCATTTATATTGCGCTACACCAATCCGCAATACAATAAATCATTCATTTATCACAGTGATGAGGAATCATTTTCGCAGAAGAATTCACGATTTAATCGCGTTAATAGTTCTGTTGTCGCGCATTATGTAATTGATGCTTGAAGGAGGAGACTTTGAAAATATTTTAGAATGAAAATGCCATTTTCATGATCATCGATACGGTAATCAAACGAACAAAAGGATGCTCCACACTTTTCAGCGTTCCCGTTCTGTGTCGAGATGCGCTAGGTGTGCGAGCGGACATTTAGAAATGCCACGAGGTTACGTCCGGGTAGTTATGCACGTTCACGTTTCTAAACCTCCTGCTCCAAGTTCCCGCTCGGTATTTCATGGATTCCCATGGAGCACGTCGCGATCGCAGCTCGAAACGTTCCAGCTCTCTCGAGGAAATTAAGTCGCTTCGATTCCCCTCGAAGAGCTTCCGCGATTGTCTAATATCCGGAATAGAAGCTGAACCCACCTCGTTGAAACACTTCTGGTGAATCGTTAACGACGACTAAAGTTTGTATGTTTATAAGATCCTGCTTTTAAACAATCCTGTCCGGTTAACGGATTTAAAACTGTATCATGCGATTCGATCAGTGACCAAGTTTAACAGCCGTGATCATTTTATATCAACTAAACTTTATTCATTGCACGTTTGATATTAGTATGTGTAAAACAGAACGGAGCTACAATTTTTTCGAAGGATTACCAGTGGTTTTATTTTTTACTAATGGTCTTGTTTTATTTTTTTAATTAATCAATCCCTTAGTTGGTGAGAAAGTATTTCTTTGATATTTATTTTTGTAATGTTGAAGGACGAAATTTTGTATAAATATTCGCAATACGCCAATGTTTATTTACTTGGCAATCAATCGAAACGAGCAAAAATAAAGGATAACGAATTTATTTCCGTCCACGATAAAATTCGATGGATATTAGCGACGTGAAGTGCATGTTTGTCCTGTGTCTGAATGTGAAATTTTATTATGCCATCAGTTATTTAAGTGTTCGCTGTGTAAAGAATAGAACGGAAATTTTGTGAATCCATACTAAAGCTTCTGTTTTAATAATCTGTTCCTTATAGATACTGTCAATATGAAGTATTCATACATCACTATCACTACCGACTGGCAGTAAAGTTGTCAATATAACATCAGCTTTAAAAATCACTATCACCAGATTATTTCTTATTTGAGAACTGAATTATTACAAAATAATCGGTCGTAAATAATTGTCAGCTCGACGTTACACCGAGATCACTAATCCGTGAATATACTTCTTTCTGACACTGTACATCATAAATGCATAAAAATTCCGGGATCTACTGACGACTGGAAATTACACGGAAGTTGTGTGTTCTACGAAGCTGTCTATCGAATTAAAAACCAAGTAAATCCCCGTATTAAAACGTTATTACAATTTTTACTCATAATATGCACTCATACTACACATAAAAACATAAACGACAACGAAATTAAATTAATAACAAAACTACGATTTTATGCATTTATTTAGGGCACGATTTAGTGTATGGATCTCAATAACGTTCAACAAGATTTTCCCGTAAAACCCGAGGAACCATGTAAACCCGCCTGATTCCACTTTCGCTAGTCCACACATAACCTACACTTCCTTAAATATCCACAGTCTAATAATAAACACCTTCGGTTCAGCTACCATGTGATTTCCAAACAGCCGAATTTTCAAAAATTCAAATTAATTCACGAAAACGTGATTTTACGTCCGTTGGACGTCGAACCAGTCATATGAGCATCAGAAATTCAGAAGGCACGGGTTTAGAGTTCATTGGGGACGAACAGAGCGATAATGCTCAATTATCCTCGCTGCGCTAGCCGATAGCGCGCGCGCGGCTCGGTCGATTACAAGCTGACAGACGTCATTAAAGTTATCGATACTCGGCGCGAGTCGGCCTAATGCCGATCAGACTCCTCTCAGAGTCGGGCTAGTTACAACGAAACGGAATTCCGTGTTTGTCTGGCCTTAGCCAGACACTATCAGAGTCCTATGGATCGTTAGTTCTCGATCGGTTATCAGCGAAGTACACTTGAAAACGACAACACCTGTGACTACGTTAGCCAGCCAGTCACCCAGACGTCGATTACAGCAAGTTGCTTCACCACCGGTACGTACCGCACAATTCGCGAAGTTTCAGCCACCCACGAATAGAAAAATGGGAAACGTCGTTCTCTCATCAAACGCTCATCTCAATGGGATCGAAACGAACAGAACTCTCTTCATCGATCACTGTGACACCTACGATACCACCCGAATAAGAGATAATATGACCGAACAGGGGGGAAGAACTTTCACTAATCCAGGACGCACTGCACCGTCCCCCTACTGGACTTGAGGGGATCGAGAAAAACTGGGAACCCAGACTGCACACCACCTGTGGATCACACTCGGGGCCACCACGCGACTGTCTACACTCTATAAAAGGTCCAGAGGAAGAGGACCTAAATCCTTAGCCTGGGCGAAGGCTTACCATGAATAAGCACTCGATGTCAGTCGAATGTAGTTCCGTTTTTCGTTTCCTTGATCGATCCTCTTGTTCCTCGAACGATTTAGGAGATATGTCCAGTAGAGTGGTTTCACTTGATCGATTGAATTCACGAGGATTTTTAGATCGATTAAAGGTGAGAATTGATTTTCACTAGAGGAGACTTCGAGGGATTGGTCGAACACGATCACGGTGTGTAGAATGATCTCGATTCGCTCGTGGGTCCGCGCACCGATCGAGAGGTCCGCAACTGATGAGAGGCACCAGCGAACTGAGGCCAGCGGAGTGAAAGGCGAACGGAATGGACTGGTGGCGGCGACAGCACCATCAGCAGCGGTAGCGGCGGCGGTGTCGCGGGTGCTTCAGGAGGGCAGCACAAAGCCCACCGACACACACGCGCGCAGAGGAATAGTTATCGAGCCGTGTACGCGCGGGCGCCGCCGTAACAGAGCGATTCCGAGACGAATTTATCGGGTTGTAAATCCGAGTCACGATGTCCCACACGGTACATATGGCGAGTTAATGGGCCGTGTCGCTTATGGCCCGGGTATATTTCGGAATTTCTTGCTCGTGGTCCAGTGACGGGGATGTTTACGAGGATCTTGAGGATTACAGAGGACACAGTTATTTTGTACACATTGTTTGGATCGAGTTGACGGGTAGTTTTGCGGAGTTTATAATGCACGGGAATTAAAAGGAACACGATAAAATTGAATAGCTTCGGGAACTGTTTGCTTGAGGCTGTCGTCATTTGACGATGAAAGGAGAACTACAATCTGAGAGAAATGAAGTTTTATCTTTTTAAGGTATAGTAGGGAATGACCCACACATCGTAATGAAACGAGATCTTAATTAGCAGTTAGAGGGTTAATCGAACGAAAACTTCACGAAAGATTAATTTCAGATTAATTTCAACATTAAAAATGGGTTTTGGGATGATTGTAAGTCTGACGATTCTGAAGTTTAAACCAAAAGATTGTACAATATAGGTTCATGCTGGGCCCATTATTATTCGAATCTTTGGTATGGACATCCATATACTGGAAAGTTATTTTTACTCGGTTAACGAACACTCCATAAATTGTATGGTGAATTATTCGTTCGGTGATCGTTCTTGGAAGTTCTGAATTATTCTGGACTGTTCTAGATTATTCTAAACTATTCTAGAGTGACCCTGACTTTGATTCCTATATTTTTAGCGCCAGGATTCCTGCTACATTATACTTTTTTGAACGTCGATACATATCAGTGC